CATGGGGGGTGGAATCTATCCCAGCTGACTCAGGGTGAAGGCAGGTTCACCTGGACAGGTAACCAGTCTATCACAGGGCTACACTTAGAGACAGACAACCAATCGAAATCTTATTCTCACCTACGGACAATTTACAATCACCAATTAACCTCAGCATGTTTCTGGACTGTGGGAGGAAGCCGGAGAACCCGGAGAGAACCCACGCTGCACGGGGAGAACATGGAGAAACGGCGACCTTCTAGCTGTGAGGCCACGGTGCTAACCACCGAGCTACCTTGCAGCCTGGTAGTGTTCTCAAAGAACAAGGAATGAGTCTAAACCACTTCTCAAGATGGGAAACCAGGACAGATACTTTGGATGGACGAAGACAGAGAAGCATTTCAGTGATGAAGGAAATGTACCAACATGACAGAGAAGGATGCCACAGTCTGTTCCAACCCGCAGTGAAACATGTTGGTGGAAATATTCAGGTCTTGGGAGAAGAAGAGTCCAAAGACAAGCAGCCCTTCACTCTCCAGAAACATGCTGTCACAGACTTTCCTCCACTGTCACCTGACCTCAGCCCCACTAAACATTTATGGGCCACTTGAAGGCCGAGAAAGTCAAACTTGTGGAATCCACGCAGCTCGAGTGCTCCTGTCACGAAACGAAAGTGGAGAAGATCGGGTTTCGAGATGTTCTGAATCTCTGAGCATTTCTCAGAGATTCAACTTTTCATTCCAATACCTAACCTGATGTTGTGGTTTGTAATGAAAGACTTTGCATCAAGTTAAATGTGCTCATAAAGAAGCATCTTTACTAGTGGGCTCAGATTTTTGGATTCTACTGAATATTTCTGGTTTAATGTGTGTATTTGAGGCCATGTTAAAAGCAAACATGTGGAATATTCTTGCAGTGAAACAAATAAATGAAATAAACATTTTTTTGCAGATTTGGCAGGAAAGAGTCTGAATGTCTGCTTAATCCACCTTGTAGCCTAATTGCAGCGTATCAGGCTTGGATGAAACTCTCATTTAGAATAAAATCAAAACAACCAGAAAAAACCCTGAAGTGTTGTACGCTGTATTTACCTCCTCTGTATACGTCCTGCTCTGGGACGCTGCATC